TTTAACGAAGAAGCCTTTTGTAAAGACTTATCTCAAATCCCTTTGGACACAATCGATATATTTGATGATGTTGACAATGCTTTAGAGGCGTGGTACAATTTATTCCTTGACGTGATTGACAAACATTTACCTTTGCGAGAAAAACGAGTGAAAAAACAACAACAACCTGATTGGATGACCTACGAGATTATTCAGTGTATGGCCCAAAGGGATCATTTCAAATCGATCAACGAAATGGTAAATTATAAGACCTACAGAAACCGTTGTGTGTCGTTAATCAGGGATGCAAAAACTACCTACTATAAAACTTGTGTTGAAGATCATAAAGGTGATTCGAAGAAATTGTGGCAATATCTACGTGATATTATTCCAACAAATCTTAAAACCGCACCGTCAAGTTTACGAAATAACTCAAACAACTCCAGCATATCGGACCCTGAAGATATGTGTGAACATTTCAACAACTTTTTCTCCACCATTGTTAACCAGTATGTTGCGGTTCAACAATTTTCTAGTAACTTTGATAAACTATCTGAAATGGTGAACTCAAGAATTAATAGTGATGATGCCTTTAGTATTCCACAACTAACTGAAGAAGAGGTTTGTAGTTATCTACGTAACTTAGACACTCACAAAGCAACCGGACTTGATGGCTTAAGTCACAAGATTTTGAAGATGTCAACCTATTTAATAGCTCCATCTCTGACTAAGATTTTCAATAAAAGTTTATCATCCGGAATGTTTCCGACAAAATGGAAAACATCAAAAATTATCCCAATCTACAAATCTGGTGCCAAATGTGATGTCAACAACTACAGGCCCATAGCCATACCTGCGCTGTCAGTAAAGTTCTCGAGCGTCATATTCACAATCATCTTTATCAGTTTCTCGTGAGTCATAACTTATTACATCATGCCCAATCTGGTTTTCGAAGAAATCACTCGTGTGAAACAGCGCTATGCAAACTTGTGGATATGTGGACATCCAACATGGAGAGCGGCCTCATAAATGGGGCAGTATTTATTGATCTACGCAAAGCTTTCGACATGGTAGATACAGATTTGTTATTACGAAAACTTGCAGTTTACAAATGTGATGATTTGACATTATCCTGGTTTAAGTCATACCTGCAACAAAGAGACCAATGTGTGCACTTTAAAGAAACTTTGTCATCTAAGAAATCTTCTCTGTATGGTGTCCCCCAAGGAAGTATTCTAGGACCTTTATTGTTTATAATGTTTATCAATGATCTTCCATTATATGCCAATTCCAACACAGACATGTATGCTGATGATTCGACAATCCATACAAGTGCTAGAACAGGTGAGGAACTCAATAATAAATTAACTGAGGATATGACAAACGTTCAAGCTTGGTGTACTAACAACAACATGGTAATAAATGACGGTAAAACGAAGGCAATGATGATAACAACATCTCAGCGCGCAGCCACATTAAATTCAAATCTACGAGTAGAGTTTAACGGTGTCCAGTTAAAGAATACCAACAATGAGAAAATACTTGGGGTTGTTATGAACGAACATCTTTCCTGGAAACAGCAGATTGACAAAGTAGCAAAATCTCTAATTAAAGGAATTCATCTTCTGAGACAGATCAAAGAATATTTGCCTATTGGTCACCAAGTAATTTACTACAAGTGTTTCTTACAACCTCATGTAGATTATTGCTGTACAGTTTGGGGACAATCATGTCATATTATTCGCATACATAAACTCCAAAAGTTAGCTCTGAGAATTATTTACGACAAACCGAAGCTAACCTCTTCTGGGCCACTATTTAAAGCTGCTGGAGTCCTGCCTATACAGCAAAGAGTAATGCTACGAACAGCAATAATGGTATATAAATCATTAAACAACTGGGTACCCAAGTACATAAGTGACTTATTTGTCTTAAAGTCATCAGTGACAAAACGAATTACAAGAAGCTCAGAGAACAACGAACTGTGGATACCGCGAACGAAACTAACAATTAGGCAGAAAACGTTGAAATTCAGTGGTGCAACATTATATAACAGTTTACCACGTGCGACCAGACAATCAACGTCATTAAGCTCCTTTAAAATAAGAGCCTATAAATACTTTTTAGATACTTATATATAAGTTATTTGTTTGTACGACTTTTATATGTTTTTGTTGTACTGATGTCCAATTTAATGTGTAGTTTTAATAGTAAATTTGTAATAAGTAGACGATAACAGTTGAACAGAAGGCCCAGTGTAAGATTAGCGTTGCTAAACTGGTTTTTGTATAATTGCACCTTCTTTAAATAAAGTTTATTATTATTATTATATATATATATATATATATATATATATATATATATATATATATATATATATATATATATATATATATATATATATATACGATTTCAAATACTTCTAGTTTCGAAATTAATTGTTTTTGTATCTGCGAAGCAGATATATTAGAGACCTTACGATTTTAGGACGGCAACGCGACGACGACGGCCAAAACAAACTCCTTCAAATAAATGGTAGTAAAGATAGTTCGTGGTATATTATCAATCGCATGAATTTAATACAGTTTTAGAAGTTGAAGACATGGGTTTTATGGTTGGGAAGAGCTCTGCTAAACCCAGTTTGAAGTTGCACTTTTTGCGGCTTGGAATGCAGCCGTTGTATCAAGACGTGGAAATCTTTGATTTGGCGTTGTAAACAGAGCGAGGACAATGTCTAAATTATACATATATTGTAATTACTCAATTCTTTTCAATGATCTATTGTATTGGTAGCCGTTGCCGTCGCGTTGCCGTCCTAAAATCGTAAGGTCTCTATTGCCATCGCAAACGTACCGTATGTTAACATAGCCATTCAGCGAAGAGCTTATATAATTGAGCCAATTCATGATATATTTAAGCCAATCAGCGATTAGTTTACATCGATTGTTTACATCGTGCCCGCATTAATGAGCTGCCTAATAAACCCAATTTATCCTTTTCAAAATGGCGGCCTTTTGTGAGTGGGCAAAATGTTTCAAACAATTTCGTTAAAATTTTCAACGAATTGTACCGGTTTTCTATGGATTTTGCATTGTGTCTAACTCTGGGCATTTTTGCTAGTTTCGGTTAATGCATTTTTCTTGGTACACGACTCTGAAAATCCGAAATTTGGATCTTTGAATTCCCGTGCACGATCATATTAAATATACTGAATCTGATAATAAACGAGCCAAAGACAATTGTAAGGTAAAAGGTTATAACCTAAACTACACAACGTAGTTTTAATAGATAACTACTTTATGAGAAGCATGTTATATTGGTGTCATATCAACTTTATGCAGCAACAGTCCCTAATAGTTAGCTGTGGAACGTGAAAACTATAGTGTGAAATATGATATTGTAATGTCTAATGACAGTGATGACACCTACATGTAATGTATAATGGCGCAATAAGGATAAAAATACCACCGTTCGATTCAGCGTAAGAAATTGCATTTACGGATGTCAAATGTATTACCAAACAACAGTGTTCTAGCGATTTATGGCCTTTGAAAATCAAACGAAATTGTATTGTTGACAAATCGCTCGCAGTACGTATATAGGATATTTGCTGACAGACGGACAAATCACTCGCAGTACGTTTGTCTTTGTATTTGTAATGCCTAAAGGCCTGATTCCACGGGCGCTTTTTCTCGGCGAAATGCGAAATATTTCGCATGTTTCTTTTGAATTGTGAGCAATCAAGTAGAAATAATTTATTCGAGTGGTCGCAATTCAAAAGAAACAGGAGAAATAATTCGCATTTCGCCGAGAAAAAGCGCCCGTGGAATCAGGCCTTTATGGCGCAATACGGATAAAAATACCACCGTTCGATTCAGCGTAAGAAATTGTACTTACGGATGTCAAATTTTTACTAAACAGTATTCTAGCGATTTATGGAAATTGTGGCTTTTGTCTTTGAAAGCCAAGCGAAATCGTATTGACTATTGTTGACAAATCGCTTAAAATTATTCAACTAATTATAAAAAATGCAGTACGTTTGATCCTTGATAACTTTGGTATCGTTGGTTTTCTCTTTTTCGGCCGCATACCAGTAGATTCGTCTCACTTCTCTCTTCATTTTGATAGTATTTTTATGTCGAACGTTTTAAAGCGCAGTTTAATCAGGATACAAGGAGAGAGCATGCAAATGTTAGAATAAAAAGATTCACTTAAACGTCATAATAAAGTATTAATAGTGTACATTTATCTTGTGTAGTCCAAATTTCTTCCTATGCTATTCAATAAATAAACTTGATATTCTATCTCTCTGAAAAGGACAAAGTTCCGGTTCCGGCCATGGTTTTTTATTAGTTCTGGCCGGAACCGGAACTCTCACAAATCAGGGTTCCGACCGGAACCGAGTTCCTGTGCACCCCTAACATTGGCAAGTGTAAACAACAAGTGACAGAACTTTTGCTGATCATATAATTACAATAAAGTTTTTGAAACTTCATGGTTTGACAAGTGACAGTTTACTAAATAGCCAGCTGTTGGCTGTATAGACACTTCAAATATTGTTTGCATGACATTTTTATTTCTTGACTGCATAATTATGTTACAATCATAATCACATTTATATAAAATTAGTTACATTTTCTCAGCGAGGGGGGGGGGGGGCAGTTGTCCTTGCTGCCCACCGCTAAAGTCTTATTTGCTATTATATTTATTATAATAATAAGTGTGATGAAATATTTCAATTGTCCCATGTCGTCTTCATTATTCAGTTCTTTTCAAGGAAATACAAAATGTGAATGACGTTTTTTCGCAGATACATGTACGCTTTGCGTACCTATTTTTTATGTGGGGCCAAAATTAATCCCCCCCCCCCCCTTATAAAACCCTGGGTTGGGGGTCCGTTGCCCAAGACAGGACATAAGATTCACAAAGCGAATTTCAGTTACTAGAATAGCAAACCTCCCTTCTAATTCCATGTTTTGCTTATATTTTAGAGAAAAGGGACTTTGGGGGAGCCAAAATGGTTGAGGGGGGGGGGGGGCACCATGGGGGATGGGGGAGCTTTGCCCCCCCCCCCCAGTTATATAGTTAAAAAATGCCCTGCTTTAACAATATTCCAGTCATGCATACAGTATATGCATTTGCTGTACTATTCTCAATGTCTGGGCAAATGAGTTTGAATCAGTAATACCACAGTCAATCAGGAACCACAGAGTAAGTACACACGGAGGTCTCAGTGATTCAGGTTAATTTAGCGTAAGGGATTTTTTCAGTACGCCATGTTCTCAGGAAGTGCCCTAACAACCCCCTGAAAACAATTATTAAAATTTAATCTTCCAGGCTCCCTCTTTGGGCACAGTTGCTAAGAACATGGCCGCCAGCTATGTTGGTAAAAGCAACCTCATGGTTTTCCCTCAGAAGTGACACCTCTGTATGTAAGACTTAGACTTAGTACTCTTATACTTAACTACCAAATATGGACATTAAGTTATAAAATTATTATATAATATTAATAAAATTGATAATTTGCCTTGTTAAATTAATTTTGCAACACTTATAATATACGCTTATTTTTGCGAAAACAATGTAAATGAATATTTTAGGGTCTTTTTGTTTTCGTAGTATACGAAAACGAAGACAGGTCTTTGTTTTCTTAATTACGAAGGCTGAAGACCCATCTTAGGTCTTCGTTTTCTTAGGTTTTCGTTTTCGAAACACCCCTTGGCCAACTCTCCCATTTTTTCAGTTTTCCCATGATCAAGAGACAAAGATCTAAAATCTCCCTGTTTCTTCAGAAATGAAAGGAAAGTGATCTATTTCAAACTGAAGCTTTTAAAAGTTCCTAGCTAAATAATTTAGCAATATTCCATATATATCCAGGTGATCTCGTGTTCGTATTTTAGCCAATCAGCGCTCAGAAAGGGTTGTCCGAATAGAAATCCATTTTGATGTATTCAATCAATTATATCTTTCATTATTCTTTATGAAACTAGTTGAAATTTTGTAATTATGTTTGGTTATGAGAACTATAACTCTGACAAAAATATGGAATCGAAATAAAGTATATTACAGGAGATATTCAGTTGTTTTAATCATAAAATGGATTTCTATTTGACAACTAGTGCCAGTACTTTTCCGCCTATCAAGATCACCTGATATAATATATATATATATATATACATATATATATATATATATATATATATATATATATATATATATATATATATATATATATATATATATATATATATATATATATATATATATATAACTTGCTTGGTTGTTGGAGCCAAAACGAGCACAGTGCTCGATGCGGGAAATTCGCAGAGCTTAATATGTTGTTCAAAATGAAAAAAATTAAAAATAAAAAATTTTAAAAAATTTTAATGTGCTGCTACTTAAGTTTCACGTATTACCGATCGTCAGACAGCAATAAATTATGGTGCACACGAGCTTTATATATACTAAGCTACCGTGCTAATTACATAAGTTCAGTCTAAATAAAACCTATTGGGACCTATGCGAGTGTTCAACTAAACTGATTTAAAATTTAAAACTTAGTAAATTAAATCAAAACCTACTTAAAGTCTATACGTAGTTGTTAAAACCTCTCGAGCAAATGATTTATGTTATCTCGTTCTTATAATTTTGTATGTAAAATTTGTTTTCATGTCTACACTTGGAGATAAGTTCGTCTCGTGTGTTCAAGAGGCGTGCGTTTCGTCCTTTCAAGATGGCTAGCTTTTCACAGAGGCATAATCCGCATTTGTTGGATCCGTTGTTGTAAGCCTTTGCTGTGTCAATGCTTGACCAACAGATTTTGTGTTCTTTTCCTTCGTTCTTTA